TTTGCACAAGGCCCTCTAGCAATTTCTTACTTCAGATCTCTAAGAGGAAATAGGATTGTCTCCATTATCTTTTGTGACAGTCGGGTGGAAAGCCAGCCTAAAGATTGGTTTCCAAAGTCAGGTGCCCACCTCTAGTCCATTCAGTTTTACCTGCTTAGGGCCATCGGTAGGTTCACATAGGCAGTAAAACCTCTTGATGGAGCAGTTCCCTCACTAGAGGGATAAGCATGGTAGATTATTTTAATTACAATTGCCTGGAGGTCAGGACTGAGAAAACTAGGCCCCGTACTTAGCCAGGTGCATTTTGGGGTATATTTTAGAAACATGGTAACAAGAATTCAAAAAAATGCTCTACTCATTTTGTTGCCTTTTAAGATCCTGCCAATTGTATCCTGATTTAGAGCTGAAGCAGGGCTCTGTACACATACTGTGCTACATAACAGCACATTATGATACCTATTATTTTTTTCCTTGAAACAAAGACTTCTCACAATTAGCCATCCATCTAGCAGATAGTATCATTGTAATGTAAGTGACAAGGCAATCACTCCACAAAAAAGCTCCTTAACAACACACTGTCAATGTCTCAATTTTTTGCTTAATAAACACTGTCAAGCTTATGAATAATTTCTGCAAGTAAACAAATAAGAGTTTAACTTTGATTTTGATTTATTAAAATGTCATTGTATTAAACCTTACAAGTTCATATTATTCAAATGCCTAGAAATGCTAAGTTTTGGCATTTTTAATCATATTGCATTCAAATTTCTACCAGACAACTTTTGGTTATTAAGAAGATTTCATCAAGGAGTTAATTGTACTGTACTTATTCAGGAGTTATAGTCAGGAAGTACATTTAATTTGAACTACATTAGAAGTGTAACAGATTGTGTGAATTAAGTAACTTTCAAGCTATGATAGTTTCCTACCATGTAATGATTACAATAATAGCCATCCTGGGTGTGCTAAGGTAAAAACACACGTCTGTTCTTTGAACTCAAGTTGTTCCTTTTTACAATGGTTACTTGGGTACTAGAGAATTTGGACAGTTATGGGAAATTATTCACTGTTATTTTATTTGCAGTATTAATATGCTTTAAAGGATTACCACATGGTTATTACTCCTACAGGCCTTATAAAATTCTTCAAACTTCTTTAACTGTTTTCTAAGTGTGAGTTGGGTATTTTTCAGAGTGAATTAAGTCCTTTAGACAGCTATGATGCCATCTACTTAATAAAGTGTTATAGTGGACATTTAACTTTCTTTTCTGCTTTTGGCATTCTCAGGCTGTTGAGGTAGGAGAAATCCCCAAGAGAAATAACAGTATACCTATTAATTTAGAGAACTGGAGGTTTAAGTCGTTAATTTGAATTTTAAGAGCTGTAACCTCCCAAGTAGTCATACCCAGTTATAAATATATAAAACTAATGTTTTATATATAAATATAAAACTAATATATAAATATATAAAATATATAAAAATATGTAGATTAAAAGCAATCATGGCAAGGGAAATAGTAAAAAGACAAGGACGGAGGAAGAAGAAGAAAATTATTTGGTCACAGTGGTTGGTGTAATTGCTAGAACTGAACCTGAGATTCAGTTCTAGGATTCTTGTTAGCCAAACTGAAGAAGGAAAACAATAAATCCTATATAATAAGCCTAATATGCTAAGTGTCTGGTCATCCACGCCCATTCAACCAATCAAAGTATAATATGCTAATGATATGCTAAGGCCACTCAACCACTCGCTATGACATGCACTGACCACCATGGGGCAGACGCTCTGACTGGTAGGTTAGCTAGCTGCTGGAGTCCAGCTGATCGGGACTAAGCGAGACAGGCGAGACACGCACTGGAGCCCTCCTGGGGTCTCTTCCCGGCTGGGCAACCTCCTGCGTCCCTCCCTGGCCCCGATCATGCACTGGTGGGGTCCCTTGGCCTGGCCTGTGCCCTCTCACAATCTGGGACTCCTCATGAGATGTCGGAGAACCAGTTTTGGCCCGATCCCACAGGCCAGGCCGAGGGACCCCAATGGTGCATGAATTTGTGCACCGGGCCTCTAGTTACAAATAAAAAATAGGTATCAGTTCCTCAATGGAAACAAAGATTTTTCTGCCTTACATTAAAATTTTAAAATGTTTTATTGATAAATATAACATGCATACAGAAAAGTATACAAAACAACTCAATGAACTATCACAAAATCTAGAACAAGACAATGAACAAAGCCAACACATCAGATACTCCTTCTCCCTCTGTCCCCTTCTAATCATTGTCCTCCTCCCCTCTCCAAACTAACCATTATAGCAACAATTTTCAAGCTGCAAGAATTTTTTTTTAAAGGAAACAATACTTTTTTATTTTATTTTATATTTTATTGATTTTTCACAGAGAGGAAGGGAGAGGGATAGAGTTAGAAACATCAATGAGAGAGAAACATTGATCAGCTGCCTCCTGCACACCCACTACTGGGCATGTGCCTGCAACCAAGGTACATGCCCTGACCGGAATAGAACCTGGGACCCTTCAGTCCGCAGGCCGACGCTCTGTCCAGTGAGCCAAACCAGTCAGGGCAAGAATTTTTTAAACATATATTTTGTATTGATTTTAGAGAGCAAGGAAGAGGGAGAGATGAAAACATCAATGATTAGAGAGAATCATTGATTGGCTACCTCCTGCCTTCCCATTGGGAATTGAGCCCACAACTCAGGCATGTGCCCTGACCAGGAATCGAACCGACCTCCTAGTTCATAGGTTGACGCTCACCCACTGAGCCACACCAGCCAGGCAAGCTGCAAGAATTTTTAAAACATGCAACACCTGACTATTTAGTTGGAGGCACTGATATCTTTTCCCTTAGATTGTCAAATAAAAAAATGACGACAGCCAACACAAAAATAGCCATCCAGTATGAATGAATAGAAATTACGTTTTTTATCAGATTGTCAAAAAACATATTTTTTGATGTGTCACAGAATTTGAATCATTAGTTTATGTGTGCCATGAGATGAAAAAGGTTGAAAATCACTGCATTATAGTATTCTATGGAAGGAAATGGTAAGAGTCTGGTCTCTTTTGCTCAACTTCATATTTCTGAGATTTTTCCACATTGTTGCAGGAGCTATAGTTTTTCCTATTCATTAGAATGCAGCATTTTGTTGAGCATATATAGCTCAATACTCTTGAAAGGCCTTTGGTTTGCTTCCAGTTTGGGGTAATTTCAAATTTTACTGCTAAAAGCATTTTTATAAAATGTATCTTGATATACAAATCCATGCATTTCCATTGGTTATATTCCTAGGAGTGGGATTGCTAGATCAAAATTGTTTTCCAAAGTGGTTGTACCACGTTACACTCTCACCAGCAGTATGTGACAGTTCCCATTGGCTGGGTCCTCTGGCTCTGGGTCCCTCATGGGCTGCAATCAAGACTGGGGCTATGGTCTCAGGTCTGATTTACTGCCTTGATACCCCTGTTGTCAGTCTTGTTAATTTTAGAAATTCTGATAGGTATAGAGGAGTATCACATTGTGGTTTAAATTTTCATCTTCTTCATTACAGATGAGGCTGGACAGCTTTCTACAAGTTCGCTGATTATGTAGACCGTTTTTTGTTTGTTTGTTTGTTTTGGGTTTTTTTAGAGCTTGCTAAAGTATCTGACCCGGTCTTCTTCTTGGTGGTCAATCATTTTCTTAATGATTTATATCAGTTTTTCATATATTTTACATATGGTCCCTTAACTTTATCTCTTGTAAATATCTTCTCCCAATCTGCACATTATTTTCCATTCTCTTTAATGTTGTTTTTGGATAGTCAGACGATCTCCAGTTATCAATTTCATGTAGTCAAATTTATAATTATTTTCTTTATAGTTGATGATTTTTTCAATATAAAATTCATTCTCTATCATGAAGACGATTTATATCAACTTCTAGAATGTTAATTATTTTATCTTTTATAATTAAAAATATAATCAATTGGCACTTAATTTGGGAATATGGTTTGAGATAGAGGTAGAGTTTTGAGGTAGAGGTTAACTTTCTTTTTCCATGTGAATATCAAATTGATATGCAATCAAAAGTCCATTTATGTAAAGGTCCTGTCTAAGCTTTCTATTGTTTCTTTCATGTTTGTCCATCCTTTCACCACTGTTAACACTGTCTTAATTACCTTAACTTTATAAGTCTCGATACTTGGTAGACATACAACTTCATGATTCTTCAAGAGTTTTTCTACTAATATTTTAAACCTTTCGCATTTCCACACATATTGTAAAATAAACTTGTCATATTACGCACACACACACAATCCTACCGTGATTTTGAATGGCTTTGCCTTGTATCTATAGATCAATCAGAGGACAGACATTGTAACAATACGCAGTCTCCCAACCTAGCCACACATATTAATCCGTCATTTATTTAGGTGTCCAATTTCTTTCAAAAATACTTCATAACTCTCTGTAGGGTTGTTGCAATCTTTGGTTAAATTTATTCCAAGTTATTTGATACCCTGTATGCTAAAATAAATTGTATTTCTTTAAAACATCAATGTTGTTTGTTACTTATTAATCAATGGAAACAGTTGATCTTCGACTATTGACTTTGTACCCGCTACTTTGTTAATCTACGAATTTAATCATTTTTTCTACATGTTTTTGGATTTTTCTATGCCGTTATGAAAAAAATAGTTTTGTTGCTCCCTCCCTAATCTATACCTTTTATTTCTTGAAAATACTAAATCCCACAATAATCTGAGTGAGTAATGTCCTGGTAAGAGTAGTTGCAAATTCAATAAAAAGCTGTCAGTGGATTAAATCTTTTCACCTCACACGTTCTGTCAGCTCCGCCCACACCATTACCCCTCACACACTCCTTCCCAATCCTGCGGACGGACCGGAGCCCAGGAGGCTCGGGGTCGGACTGCGCAAGCGCGCGCCAGCCGCACGCTAGCCGCCCCGCCCCTCGCCGGACGCAGCCAATCAGCGGCTGCCTCTGACTGGCGCGCCACGGTCAAAAATGGCGGCGGCCGTTAGCGCCGGGTGGCTTTTGTAATTCCACGGCTCTACGCTTCCCGTGCAAAATGTGAAAGGCGAAAAGGCTGGTGGAGGGGGTCCTAGGCAATGAGTCGGCGAAGAAAGCTTGGGGACAGCCCTGGCCCGAAGAACACGCCGCGCCAAGCGGCGGCGGCTGAGGAATGCAGCTCGGTGGTCGAGTCCGGGAAGAGGCGGCTGCGGTCGGCCCGGGGATCGGGGCTCCGCGGGGCCGGAGGAGAGGGGCCTCTCCCGCCCGTGCCGCAGCCAGAGCAGCCTTCAGTAGCCGCTTCCTGCGGTAAAAGTAACCCGGGAGGGAGACGTGGCCTCCCTGGGCCCCGCAGCCCAGCCGGCGACTGGGGAAGGGGATGGGAGTGGAGGGGTGGGGGTTGCGGGGTGTTTTCTTGCTCTGGGCCTCTCCCCTCGTGAGCCCCAAACTTACCCGGGACACTTCCCCTTGGCCTCGGTCCCCGAGTCTGAGCACTGCCCCGTTCGGGTTGATCACCCACTGTCGCTCCTGCCCCAGGAGTAGGGGTGTGGGGTTCCCCTGAAGGAGGGAGGGCGGCTCATTTCTGGGCTGCTGCTCGGAGTCAGCGGTGGCGGAGCGAGGAGAACGGCCTCCAGCTTTTTCCTGGGCAGTTCCTTCCGCTTACCGTTTTGCCCCGACTGGCTTTAGCGCAGGGACCCTCTGCAGAGCCATAGCTCTCTGTGTCCGCGGAGCCCTGGGGATGGCCCCCCTCGGTGGGCATGAACCGGAAGTGCCTGTGGAGGACTCCCCTCACCGGAGGGCCCTGGAGTATATTTCATTCCCATCAATTTCTGGTGTCCCATTTTTTGAAAGATTTCTAATAAATCATGGTGGGAACTGAACCCCACACTGAAGCTGTTTTCCTAGAGCGTGCTCTCCAAACATGGCTTTTGTTGACTGGCGTAAAGCAATGCCAGAATGAGCAGAAACAAGTCTCTAGAACTTTTAAAAGTGATGCTGGACAGAACTTCCCAAGAAGTGGATCGCTAAAGCTGTTTGAAGCAGTTGGTTTAGGTTGGACAGAGTTGGTGAAAGCGGGCCAAACAGGCTTGTACTGAAGTTCTGTTGGGATGCTCTGGATGGTTGCAATGTCTCTATACGTGACAGGTGGTTCCCAAAGCCTCCAAGTTCCAGTGGTAATGAATGGAGTGACTAGGGCCTACAGCATTCTACATCATAGACCTACTAGATTGCTTTAAAGTACTTGCTGTCTATAATGTTAAATTTGGGAGGTATTGGAAGGATTTTTATGTGAAACAAAACATTTCGGTTCTGAAAATTTATATTAAGTCATCTCTGGGGGAAAATTAGGTAACTGGACTATGAAAAGTAATCTTGTTAAAAGCTATTATTTGATATAGGGGTATTGTGAAGCAATGCTTTAAGATGCAACAACTGCTCTTTTAATCTTATTTTATATAGGAAAGTATGAAACACCAAAGAGAGTGCTGAAAATGGAGTTGTTGTCATCTACCTTCAATTCTCCTAATGATCCAGATGGCCTAAATGATATATTTTGGGATCAGAATTCTCCAATGACCAAACAGTTAGGTAATTGGTTATTAACATTTTTATCTGGGTAACTATTTGAGAAATGATTTAGGATTTAAACTATTGAATTTCATTTGGGGGAACAACATCATGAATTTTGTACAGTAGGTGTTTTTTTGAGAATCTTATCTGATTGTATTGCTGTGATACATGTGCTATCATAGATGTGCTAATTAAACTTGTTTTCTAAGAAATGACCACTATTTTTAAAAATATTTTTATTTACATTTATAGAAATGTGTTTCTTTCTTTAGGTAAAGGAAGGAAAAAAAAGATTTACAACACAGATAGTGATGAGATCTCACATATTGTTAATTGTATTGCTCCTCAGGTAAATATTACTAGTTTTATAATTACTTTATGCTACTAAGTCCTTGTATAGTTCATTTGTATGAAAAATGTTTTATCTTATTTTCATTTTCAATTTAGATTTTATTTTTATTAAATTTATTGGGTGACATTGTTTAATATGATCATATAGGTTTCAGGTGTGTGTTTCTATGTTACAAGCTCTGTATATTGCACTGTGCGCCCACCAACCAAAGTCAGATCATCTTCTGTCACCTCATTTTAATTTTCTAGAGTGATGCTTTTGACTAGAGCTTTGTGTTTATTTTGTTTTTAGTATTGTTTAACAATACATGGCACCAAGTTGCTAAAATAATAGAATCAGACAATGAAAATTTAAACTTTTAAGGTGTTTTTTTTTAATGATTGGTAAATGTGTATTGACTATAGCACAACTTTTCTCCACTGGAACTGCTCTTAATACTGTTGACTTACAAGATCATCAAGAAACATTGTAAAAGTGGGAAAAACACTGGATTTGGAGTTAGTTCTCAGATCACCTCCTGGGTTACCCCAAGCAAGCTACTTAAGCTTAGAACTTGAGTTCATTCAGCCATAAACTAGGATTACTTGTCTTGCTCTCTTTATTGAATTAATATGAAGGTTATATTAGATAATAAGTCTTTGTAAACTATAGAACACTGTAAATATAAGGTTATGTTAAAGTTATTTATGTTAAAGTTACAGTTAAATTATTTGCTGTAATAGTATCATCTGCAAAAGTTTATTTTTCTTTAATTTCTTGTACTGCTTGAGTGAAATAGAAATATAAATTAAAGTCAACCTCTGTGCTGAAGTTGACTTTACTTTCCTCTCTTTTTTCCAATTTTTGCTTAGTGTCTTTTCTATAGGAAGTAGGCTATTTTTCTTTGACACAACCATGGATAGTGACTATGTTGACCAAAAACAATAGATGGCACTGATCCAAGTTGTGGTTAAAAGGAATCAGCATAATCCAGGTGAAGAAGACAGGAAATAAAGCTTCTCTTATGGCTATAAAATATCCCAAATTACAACTATGATAGTCAAAACAACTCTGTTGGTACTAGCTCTACATTCCATGTTTGACTTGTCATAGAAATTTATTTTCCATATGGTTCATTAGTTAAATAGAATTTATGCCATAATACTACTTACTTCATGAGTTAACAATAGATCTTCATTAATTGTGAGTTTCACATGAAAGAAGCATAATAAAATGTGTTTGGGCTGGCCAGCCTAAATAGTGATAAAAAGATAGTTGAGTAAATTAATGGACTCTACCTAAGAGGGATGGAAATAATAGCTCACATAAAGAAATGGCAACAGTATGCAAGTGGTAACTTGTGTATAAGAAAAAATACAGTGAAATTAGTTGCTTTTAAATGTTACCCTTTTCAACTGAGTACTTTTAAAACATAAATCTTTGGTAATATCAAGATCTTTTTAAAAGCTTTAAAAAGTATTCACAAATGACATATTCATGTTTATTTTTAGGTGAGTTAACCTCAAATAATTATTTAAATCAACTTAATATTTTCAGAGATGGCATTTAAAAATATATGCACTTCCATTTTAATTGGACATTCACTTTCTTCAAGGATTCTTTTTATGTAATGTTGTTTATTTGAAGATGGGCGGTATATTTTCCAATCGTTTCTTAACTACACAGTGTGTACTCTTTAGGATTAAATATAGTGCTTAGATATCTTAATACAGTACCTGGATTGTATTGTGTACTTATTAATGAAGACATTTTAAAAATATAACGCAATTAGTATAAAAATTGTATACAAAGTACCCATGTCCATGTAAAATTGGATATATAAAATTATCATACTTTTATTCTCTAAAAATTGGAAGGAATGTAAAATTACTTGCTAAATGGGCAAAAAAGAAAACCATAATTAAATCATTAAGACTGTTGTTTTTCCTAAATCAAGGTTATTGAAACAAAGGGGAAAAAATAATACTGAAAGTAAAATTAACGCTTTTGTTGTTTGGTTGGTTTTTAATGTTTTGCAAAGCTAAAATTTACTAGGATCAACTGGCCATCTAAGAAAACTGCTGATCAATTAAGGATTCTGGTAAATAATCATGAACTGACATCTTTATGTCCAGCATTTTGCTAGATAGATGCTGAACTATCATAAGAATAATTCTTGCCTTCAAGTAACCTATAATCTAGTGATAAGATTATTTTTACCTTATGTGATATGTATGTTCATTATAGGTATTATAAAAATAGAGTAGAGAATAGTTAACCTATTTTTTTGTGTTGGTTTGGTTTATAACTAATACATAAACATATTCTCTAATATTTTACATGATCAAGTAATTGAAAGTCATAACAAAAATATACAGGACTAAATGGCTTTTTCTCTATCTTATTCTTTGCATCAGTTCTGATATTATACTTCTCTAACTCAGTTCTGATCTTAGTTCTATGTAAGTGTTCTTAATTCAGGTCAACGTAGACTGTCCAATTTTAGATAAAGATTGTAATAGGGATATGGAAAATTTGAAGAATCAAGTGACACAGAAAAGATTCTACACGTATCTTTACTCTTCATAAAAAAAAAATTGATTTCAGAGAGGAAGGGAGAGGGAGAGATAGAAACATCAGTGATGAGAGAGAATCATTGATCAGCTGCCTCCTGCACACCCCCAATTGGGGATCAAGCCCACAAACCCAGGCATGTGCCCTTGAACGAAATCAAACCTGGGACCCTTCAGTCCGCAGGCCGGCACTCTATCCACTAACCCACACCACTAGGGCATGTGTCTTTATTCTTAAATCATGATGTCTGCTCACAGTTTATTTCTGATACTAATGTTTATTTTTATGAATATCTTATAAGTTGATCAGCTTTCTTTTGATAAAAATGCTTTTATTATTTAAAAAAACATTTATTAAATAAATCACTAGAACATTTTTTTGAAAACAAGGAATTCTCAATTCTGAATATTTTCATTCCCTAAAATATAAATATATTATTTTGCAACTTTTTATTATATCTTCCAGCTTCTTATTGTTTTGAGATTGTTTAGTAACCATCACCTTACCAGAATTTATTATTTGAGGAAAATAAATCAATGTAATTAAAGTTTCCTTTTTTACTTTCTTTTTCTCTCTTTTTTATTTTTTAAATTTTATTTTACACCTCTTTTTTCCCCCTTCTACCAAAGGATGAAAAACCAACAACAGACTCCATGCTGGGCGTGTGGATTGGTGAAACTGCTATTCCTTGTACTCCTCATGTAGCGAAAGGAAAATCAAGAGCAAAAGTCAGCTGCACAAAGTAAATTCAGACTTTTTAGTTTTTCTTCTGACATTCAGTGAAGTAAATATTTTCAATAATTGATTTGGTTTTGTGATTATATCAAAAACATTTCCTTAATTTTGACGTGTAGAATTTTGTACTTAATTATAATGTGTTAAAATTTTCATGTTTTAACATTAAAATATGTCAAATAACAATTGGATATTTATAACAACTCTTAGAACTTTTCTCATAATTTTTAACATATTTGTCTAGGTTAAAAACACAAAATCAAGAGGAAGAACTTATGAAATTGGCTAAGCAATTTGATAAAAATATGGAAGAGCTAGATGTGATTCAAGAGCAAAACAAGAGAAATCATGATTTTATCCAGATGATTTCGGAAGCAGAGACTTTAAATAATTATAAAGATAATGTACAGATGCAGTTATTACATGAGATAGTTCCTGAAATAGATAATGGTATAATAAAGAAGCCAATGAAAGAAAGCACCAATGTATCTGTGGTAAATGATCAATATCACAGTCAGAAGCCATTTGACCAAAATGCTGAAGCAGCTTTTAATGCCATTTTTGATGGTTCTACTCAGAAGTGTAGTGGACAGTTAAGCCAAGATCTGTCAGATGCCTTATGGAGCACTGTTAATACTACCTTTGGAAAGAAAAGTGCTTTGAAAGAGGAGAAAATCATTAGTAATGAAACTCAAGTTACTGAAAAACTACGAAACAAATCCCCAACATCACTTTCTCATCAAATAGATACTCCTGGAATGACAAAATCATATGTGACTTCCAGTACTAAGGAGCCAGAAGCTTTTAATAAGCACACGGATGTATTTACTACTGGTGATTTTGAGGACGAATGGGAAAACTTACTAAATAATGAACCTTTTGTTACACAAAATGTAGAAAGATCTGAACTTTTTTCTGCTCCTGAAACAGTCCAGAGGGTTGATCAAAAAGACATTTGTATATTTAATAGTAAAAATGGTAAAAGTAACTCAAGAATGAATATAAGTCTAGATGCTGAGTTTAGAGATTCAAAAATTGTAGATGTTTCTTCAAACATACATACCAATGAATTAATAGATGCTAGAAAATACAGATTTTTACCAAATTCAAATGGTAAACCAAACAAATTACAATCCATTGGAAATAAAGTGAAATTTGAGAAATCTTTTAATAAAATCATTCAAGGCAAAACTCAAGATAGTGCAGTTGCATCCGATCCGACAAAAGTAAAAGAAGTTATTCAAACTAAATTTATTTCTAATGTAAATACTTCTCAAAAAAAGTCTACTTTGAACACAGGATATTCTAATGAACAGAAAAATAAGTCAATTTTTAATCAGTCATTTAAGACGCCTGCTAATATAGTTCCTTTTGACTCTGCTGCTTTGGACATTGCAGATCAGACTAATGGATCAAATACGGATTCTTTCTCTGATGATTGGAATGACCCATCATTTGCCAATGAAATTGTGAAAGCATGTCATCAATTAGAGAATACCTGGGAAGATGATGATGTAGAGGATGACCTATTATACCAAGCATGTGATGATATTGAAAGACTAACTCAGCAGCAAGACATGAGAAAGGACAACAAGACATCAGAAAGTATACTTGACATTAATAATAGTTCCAAACATGGAGCCAAAAACACATTTACTACATCTAAACAAGGAAGTCAGTTGGTGCAATCAACGTATTTGAATCTGAGTGATATTTCAGCACAGTCATCATCGACTGGTAGCTCACAAATAAATAAATCAGTGAAGATGCAGAAAGGGGAAATTTGTGGAAATTCTCCAAGTTTTATAGGTGCGACAACAAATTTGACTATATACTCTAAGAACTCAAGTTGTCTTATCAATAATTTGCCTGTCTCTTGGAGTAATACTGGTGTTCCAGTAGAAGTGAATAGTTCCAAATCGGTTCTTATAAGAAGTTCAAGTTTGAATGTGAATTCAGATCATATGAGTACAGAAATAGCTACTTATAAGAAGAAATTGAATAGTCGGCCTCTGTTCCATGGGACCATAACAGATGAAGCTCAGAATGATCTTAACAGAACAGTTAAGTTTTCTAAGTACAGGTTTACAAAGATCAAAAATTCTCAGATTCTTTCCCAGATTAATCAAAATTGTATACCAGAAAGCATCTCTGATTCCAAAATTACACAGAGTTTGGAGAAAAACAAAATTCCTGTCAACTCATTATGTGGGAAGGCTGTTCAACAGCAATCTTTGATGAAACCTGAATCTTTGAAACTACCTTCAAAAGGTATGTATCAAATCATTTCCTTTGAAAGATTATCATCTTGGAAAGTAGCCAAACTAGTATTTTGTTGTATTGAATTTGCATAACATGTAAAGTAAAAATTATGATGTTTAACTATGTCATAACGTGATTCTTACAAATAATTATGTTGTAATATACGAAGAGTGGGCGATTTGTTTTCAAAAGACTGCATCAGATTCTTTATCAGCATTTAATACAGTGACTAGCATATAGTAGGCACTCAGTAAATACTTGTTCAATGTTTTCTGAATTATTTTGTGAAAAGTCATTCTTTAGAAATATATATATATTACTGTGTGAGACTTTATGAAATATCTCATTGTTTTAAAACTTGAATAATCTTACTGTGTTTAGCAGAACATTAAGGTGAATAATATTTGAAAATGTAGGACATTTTCATTAAATACCTCTTCTAGTATAATGGCTGATATAAAACTCTGTTAGTTGCAATAAGAATTCTAATTACTTACTCAGTACAACCGGTCATCTTTCATTCTGCCAGTTCCTCTTTTCCCAAATTCTCATTTCCATCAACATGTTCTATTCTTTCTACCACAAAAAAATATATCTCAAAATTGTCCATTTTTCTCACTCTCTACTATTACCACCCTTTTCCAAGCCAACATTTATTGACTAGACTACTGCAGTTCTTTTACCTGTCCCATTTCAATTCTGATCTCCAAACAGCAGAAGAACCTTTTACAAACAAATAGGTAAACTGCACTCCTATGCTTAATGACAGCCTTCAATTGCTGACTGTATTTCAAGTAAAGTTCGAACTTGACACTGTTATCTAAGGCTTAGATTATCTCTCTTTAACCTGCCTCTCCTCTTTTTTCCTTTACTTACTAAGCTCCAACTATGCCAATAGTCTTTCAGTTCCTCAAAAGAAATAGGTTCTTTCCTATTTCAAGAGCTTTGACTGTGCTATTCCCAACTAAAACTACTTCCCAACATTTCACCCCCACCCCACCCTTTGGTGCTTTTTTATCCTTAGGTCTCAGTTTAAATATTACCTACCCTCGCACAGAGGCCTTCCTTGAACAATCTGTAGGTGAGTCTTTTCCTTGTAATTTTCCATCATCGCTTATTTCCTTCACCTTTTAAAATTACAATTAAATATTGATTACGATCTTATCAGTGAGTACCTTGGCCTACCACAGTATCTGACACTTAGAAGATGTTTGATAAATATTTGAGTGAACATCATGTAATATAATATAAAAGGTCTGTTATTCACTGATAGCATAATATTTTTTTAAAAGGGAATATGTCTGGCCTAACTACTAGTACTTCTTAATGCCCAATACTTGATCATAGCCTTCCGTCTGCAGATGCTATTTCCTTTGCCCGGAATAGTGCACCCACATGTCTATACCAAATCTGCCAGGCCATTTTCCATTTGCTTTTAAAAAATACAATGTGTTTTTAACCACCTTCAGAATGATTTACATTCACTTTCTCTGGCTTACTCCAATACCCGGTGCTAATTTCTGTTACAGTATTTAGTATACTCACTTGTAATTATTGATTTTCTTAAATTAGTCTCCCTCACTTGGAGCTAACATTAGACTCCTTACTTGTTATGTAGATTAGTGCTAATATGAGAAAGTTTTTCATTTCTTTTAACATTAGATCTTTGTTTTCGGTTTAGATTCTAGATAATGTTTTTGTTGGTATTACTGTTAAAATTTTCCTATTTAAGTCATCCCTCCGCTTTAAAAAAAAAAAAAATTATGTAAGTCCTCTATTTCTCCTTTCCCATACCATTTCCCAGGAAAAGGCACTGGTAACAGTTTGGAATACATCATGTAACATTTTTGTGTGTGTATAAAAATGTGTGTGTGTATACCTATAGATTTATCTAAATAGATGGAATTATATACTATATACCCCCTATTTGGCAACTTGGTTTTACTTTCACTTAATATAACTATGATTTCCTGTAGTACATATAGATTTGCTTCAGTCCTTTTAACACACGGTATAGTATGTCATTATATGTATGTAACAATTTATTTAACTGTGTCTCTATTGATGGAAGTGTAGTTTGGCTGCAGTTTTTTACATTACAAACAATCCTCCAGTGAATATCCTTCTACATAAATTTCTGTATACTCTTGAGATTATATTTGTTAATTACTGAAAAATTAATGGAGAATGTTTTGAATTTTGATGGCTATCACCAAATTTCCCCCAAAAGTTACATCAATTTATATTCTTATTAATGTTGACAAATAATATATCTCTACATTATGGCCCAAGCTAGATATTTTGAAACTTTAAGATTTTTCAATCTATGCCCTGGCAGGTGTGGCTCAGTTGGTTGCATGTCATACCATGCACTGAAAGGTTGCTGGCTCCATTCCCAGTAAGGGCACATGCCCGGGTTGCAGGCTGGATCCCCAGTAGGGGGTTTGCAGGAGGCAGCCAATTGGTGTTTCGCTATCACATCCATGACTCTCTCTCCCTCTCTTTTTCTCTTTCTGTAAAAATCAATTTAAAAAATGTTTTAAAAAAACACAAAATAATTGTCAAATCCATAACAATTTAAAATATTTATATTCAAATAAGTGTAATTAATTGACCCATACTCCCAAAATGATACATTAACATATAATTGTAATTCTTTTAAAGACTAAATCTCTAGAATATTTGAGTTTTCCCAAAACTTTTATCTACTAATCTGTCTGCATTATGGATGAATAATCTGCCTTCCAATTTACCTTAACAGTTTTCCCTTTGAGTTGATTTATAGCATCTAATATTCTTTTCTTTTTCTAATTTTTTAAATGAATTTGAGAGAGAGAGAGAGAGAAACATCGATTGGCTGCCTCTCCTATGCACCCTTACTAGGGATCAAGCCTGCACCCTGGGCCAGAAATCCAACAGGCAGCCTTTCAGTGCATGGGACCACATTCAACCAACTGAGCTACGCCAGCCAGGACATCTATACTAATAAAAGGGTAATAATGCTAATTAGAACGGTTCGACTGGACATCTTCCAGATGTCCGATTTCCTTCCAGAAGTTAGGAGGAGACCAGTCCAGGGGTCAGTTAGGGGGGCAACCAGCCTGGCGGCGGGGGGGAGGGGGGTGCATTTAGAGGGCAACCAGGCCGACGGGGGCAGTTAGGGGGTGATCAGGCCAGCCAGCAGAGGCAGTTAGGGGCAATCAGGCAGGCAGGCAGGCAGGTAAGGAGTTAGGAGCCAGTGGTCCCGGATTTTGAGAGGGATGTGCGGGATGGGGCCTAAACTGGCAGTCAGACATATCCCGAGGGGTCCTGGATTGGAGAGGGTGCAGGTCAGGCTGAGGGACACCCATCCCCCATGCACAAATTTCATGCACCGGGCTCCTAGTATAGTGTATAATATTCTAATGAATATTAAACTTGTTGATATTTTCTATTGTTTACACTTCCTTTTACTTTGTTATGTAGCAAACTGCTCTTCAGCAGATGTCTTTGAAACAAAACTCATTTAAAAACCTCATTCCTTGAAGGCAGGGTTTGGCAAACCATGGCCTGTCCAAATCTATCCTGTGTGGCCTGTTTTTGTACAGCAGCATGCTAAAATGCCTTTCATGTTATAAATGGTTGAAAAATCAAAAGAAGAATAATATTTTGTGACTTTTGAAAATTATAATCAATTCTAATTTTATTGTCCCTACACAAATTTGTATTTGAACAGAGCCACATCATTTGTTTATGTATTGTCTGTGGCTGTTTTCAGGCTGCAATGACAGAGCTGAGCAGTTAGATTAAGAGATTATATATCCTGCAAAGGTTAGCATATTTACTTTCTAGCCTGTTACAACAACAACAAAAAATTTGCTGACCCCTGCTTTAGATTAAGATTAAGAGTCACTCTTGCTTTGTACCTTGCAATAGTTTGAGACTTTGCTATGTATTTTTATTGCAGATTGAGTTAAAGGAAGGGCTGATGGGAGAAATGGATGACTCTCTCTAAATCAAATTTTCATGGTGTGATTTTATTATATCCTTTGAAATTATTTTCCAGAATATCACCAAGCCAACTGTAAGGCCCATTTTAGGGAGCTATGTTCTTTTCTGTCGTCATGGATTATTAACCTGTGTTCCTTCCAAACTTATGGTCAATTGAATGTAAACTGTGTGTGCATGTATTCTGAGTTTCTTGTGTTTCTTAGGCTTGAGACTAAAATATTAGATAATTAATCTGGGTAATTTTAAGCATCTTGTATTTTTCTGTAAGGAAAAAAAAGCTATACTCTGAGATAAATAGTTTAGGAAATAAAAGACATCGGAGTCATTAGGGAGTTTACTCGAAATACATATCTCTTACCCTGAACACTCACTCCCATTCAGATTATACCAAAAAAGGGAAGACAGGTGATATATTTTTAGACATATTTCCCTTAGTTAACAAGACAAATGCCTTGTAACAAATTATGAACCTTTATTTAGATGTCAGTATAAATAATATTTCGCTGCTGATATACTACAGATTCTTATTTACTTCTCTGAAAGGCAGATTTTACAACATAAACAGTTTTACAAATACAATACAAGGTCATTTAAAGATGTATTAAGGTGATGGTCTTAATTTTAAAGCATTTAAATGAGGAAATAGGTTTGCTATTTAAAGCTTGATTCTTTTTAATATAATCTATTACATTAGCTCAAAGTGACTTAACTATTGAATTAAATTCATTATATTAGAACTCAGTATTTTGGCATAGATAGAATTGGATGATTTGTTAAAATAGAACTTTCTATTTTCATTTGTTTAATTTGAAACATTGTTTATTTTATAGTCTATTTAAAGTATGCATAAGAATATACCTATATCAGAATGCTTCACATTTTTATATTTTAAAAAGACATTCAAATTGAAGAATTTATTCATATATTTTGCTTTTTAAAATAATTTTCTAATGTTTATATAATATGTGTCCTCCAAATAAAAAGATAATACCTGACAATGAGTTACATGTTTATTGACATGTTGGATTTCATTCTATCATGCTAAAATATTTCTCCTGAATGGCTGAAATGAAATCTTGGAGTTCTATAGAGGTGAATATGAATATACCTTATCTTATAAATACACTATTTGAAGTATTGGTATCTAATTTAATTTATTATATTTTAACTACTTTACATTTAAAATCCGTTTTTAAAATGTATTTGTTATATAAATTAGATGTCATTATTCACAAGAATTATTTGCTGGGTAGTCAAAATGTACCATTTTTAATCAAATGAATTTTATCACACTGAAAAGAGTGCATCAAATAGGGACAGACTTATCAATGATTTTTTGTTTTCTTTTGGCGTACATCATTATGTCTGTACTTGGAATTTCACATATAGTAGTTTAGTGTGACTTAATGGCCAAACCAATGTAGCAACTCTGGGTAATAAAAAAGTAAAAATTAAAACAGATCTTAAGAATGACTTTATAGTCTATAACACTAGTATCTGTATTTTGTTTCCTTTTTAGAGGAAGAAGAGAAAAATAGGAAGTATTCTCCTGAAGAAATTCAGAGAAAACGACAAGAAGCACTGGTTCGAAGAATGGCCAAGGCACAGGCATCATCTGTAAAGGCAGCTCCAATTTAATTTGGCTTTTTTAGTGAAATGGTAGTTGGAAGATTTAACAAAGACAGTTGGTACCTATCGATGATAGGAAACATTGTTCTTGATTTCTCTGTGAGAAATTTAATGCTGAGTTATAAAGCATGGACTTCTACTTTATTTAATAAATCATGTTTGCATTGATCAGTGAAAACTTTTCTTGGAGATGTATGTGAAAGTAATTCCATGTAAGTTTTGGAAATTCAGGAGAGTTAACAGTTACGTAGTAGAATTATACAGAGGAAAGGAGATCTATTTTTTAAACACTGTGATTTCAGGGGATTATCAAAAAATAGTTATCTACTTAATTTTTTATTGTAATAGGGCTTTTTTCCTAACATAAAGCTTCAACCTACTAAGTTAAAGATACAATTTTTTAAATATTTTTACTTTTAGTAACTGTTCCTTAAGGTTTTTATACATTTCTGAAGTTTAATTAATACTTGCACCTTCTTAGGAACATGGTTAGAGGAAATTACTCAATTTATTTGTAAGGAAATTATTGTTTTCAATTCCTAGTCTGAAATAGATTTGAATTCGAATTTTCTAAAATGCAATGCGTTTTTGAAACTTTCCACCATTTTTAGGGAAAATGCTAATTTAAGAAGTTTCATTTAGAAAAAAGTGGGTTGGCTATATAAGTAATGTAGCATCATTAACATGGAGAACTGTCAGAAGCTTTAGTTATCATTTGATCCAGCTTTATTGTATAGATGAAAAATTAATACTGTATTCTGAAGGTCACAAGGCAAGCTAAAACTACTGGGATTAGAATAATTTTTTTTAAATATATTATCAATTTCAGAGAAGAAGGGAGAGGGAGAGAGACATAAAAACATCAATGATGAGAGAGAATCATTAATCGGCTACCTCCTGCATGCCCCCCACGGGGGACTGAGCCCGCATCCTGAGCATGTGCCCTGGCTGGGAATCCAACCATGACCTCCCAGTATATAGGATGATGTTCAATTACTGAGCCATGCCAGATGGGCTAGAATTATTTCTTGCATTCTAATGGTTACCTAAACAATTATACCATTTCCTGCAGAATATTAGTACATAAGATAACTTGTTTTCATATTAATTATTTTTTAGTCTAAAACTAAAAAAGGTAAAAGTACATTAAGGACTTTAAATATGATACTCATATTTTCTTGTGTTAAAGAATGAATCATTCTAGGGTATAATTTCTGGTTTTCCATACTATGTAATTTTCTCTTAATTAACTTACAGACTTTGTTAATTTGTTCTTTTCTGTTAATCTTCCTTTTTCTTTTTGCCTATTTGGAATTTGCTAGGCCAGAAGTAAAATCTAAGCAGAGGGCATAAAGGCAATAAGGATGCTTTCTGCATCCCAAATGGCTTTAAGGGACCTGAGGAAAGTTATGAGTGTTGTTCACCACCATTCAGGTGTCTTTTAGCTATGATAATATTACAATAATTAAATGCATTTTAAGGTATTGCTGTAGAGAGACATATAATTTTGAAAATTAAATTTTTATACAGGAGTTAGCAAAAGTAGGTTTACAGTTGTTTGTATGGAAAAATATGCAGATTATTACAATTGCTTTATTATTATTTTTTAAATACATTTTTACTGATTTCAGAGAGGAAGGGAGGGGGTGAGAAAGATAGAAACATCAGAGATGAGAGAGAATCATTGATTGGCTGCCTCCTGCACACCCCCTAATGGGGATTGAGCCCATAATCCAGGCACGTGCCTGACAGGTAATCGAACCACGGCCTCCTGGTTCATAGGTTGACGCTCAACCCTTGAGCCACACTGGTGGGCTACAA